ATGGTGAGTAGCTTGGAGGGGAACTTGTAAGTGGTGGTGTTCCCATGGTGGTACTCCCCTTGCCCTTCTAGATTCAAATAGTCATGGGTTTGGAAGGTACTGTCCATGGAGCATTTTGAATTTCTGCAATGCATCTTGTAGATGGTATGCTGAGTGCAGTGGTGGAAGGAGTGAATGTTTCTGAACATGGTACCAATCAAGCCGGCTGCTTTGTCCTGGATGGTGTCAAGCTTCTTGAGTGTTGTTGGGGCTGCACCAATGTAGACAAGTGGGGAGCATTCCATCACACTCCTGAATTATGCCTTGTAGATGGTGGACAGGCTTTGAGAACTCAGGAGGTATGTTACCACCATATTCTTAGGTCTCTGAACTGCTCTTGTACCTGCTATATTTATTTAGCTAGTTCACTTCAGTTTCTGGTCAATGATAACCCCAGGATGTTGGTATCAGAGAATACAGCAATGGTAATACCATTGAATGTCAAGTGGTGAGGTTAAATTGACCATCTCCAATAAGATGCATGAATGTCACTTGCCACTTATCAGCCCAAGCCTTGACATTGTCCAGGTCTTTCTACATTTGGACATGGAAGCTTCAGTTTCTGAGAGATCATGATTGGTGCTGAACATTGCTGATGATTGCACATCCCCACCTCTGTCCTTATGATGGAAGGCAGGTCATTGATGAAGCAGCTGAAGCTGGTTAGGCCTAGGACACTAGCCTGGAGGAACTCCTGCAGAGATATCCTGGAGTTGAGACGACTGGCCTCCAACAGCTACAACCAGTTATTTTGTCCATGTTTGAACCAAGGCTGTAATGAGATCAGGAGCTGAGTGGCCCTGGTGGAACCCAAACTGGGCGTCACTAAGCAGGTTATTGCTGAGCAAGTGCTGATGATAGTACTATTGATAACAGCTTCCATCACTTTACTGATGATCAAGAGTAGACGGACAGGGCAGTAATTGGCCAAGGTGGATTTGTCCTGATTTTTGTGTACAGGACATACCCTGGGTAATTTTCCACATTGTCAGGTAGATGCCAGTGTTGTAGCTGTACTGGAAGAGCTTGGCTAGGAGAGTGGCAAGCTCTGGAGCACAAATCTTCAGTAGTATTCCTGGAATGTTGTCAGGACCCATAGCCGTTGCAGTATCCAGTGTCTCCAACCATTTCGTCACATCACAAAGAGTGAATCGAATTGACTGATGAGCAGTATCTATGATGTTGGGGATATTGTCAAAGGCCAAGATGAATCATCCACTTGGCACTTCCGGCTGAAGACTGTTGCAAATGCTTCAGCTTTATCTTTTGCAATGATGTTTTGGGCTTCCCACTTCTTGAGGATGAGGGTAAGTGCGGAGAATCGTCCTCAAGTGAATTTGGTTAATGTCCAGCATAATACATAACTGAATGTGGCAGGACTGCAGAGCTCAGATCTGAATTGTTGATTGTGGAATTGCTCAACTGTCTATCACTTGCTGCTTATGCTGTTTGGCACGCAAGTAGTCCTGTTTGGTCGTTTCACCAGGTGGACACCTCAATTTCAGGTATGCCCGGTGCTACTCCTGGCATACCTTCCTGCACTCTCCATTGAACCAGGGTTGATCCCCTGGCTTGATGGTAGTAGGTGAGGGGGGTGGGCGGGGGATATGCCAGGGCAAGAGGTTGTAGATTGTTCTAGTAATGGGAAAAAATGGCTTAAAGCAGCAGAGGAAATTGTTGGTTTATTCTGTATAAGTTACAAATAAGGAAATTAGTAATAAAGAGGAAAATCCAATGCATCATTTTAGCTCAATGATAACTGACATCGGACTTTATACTGGGCAGTGACACTAAAGCACACAGGGTAAAGATGTTCAAAAACCAATGAGAAGAAATTGAGGGATAAGGTGAGTGGGTTAATTACTGGGTTTAAAAGATTTAACAAGAAAGGTGGGCAAGTAGCTTTAAATTGTACTGTTAAGGATTTGTCAACCAGAGACAAGTTCAAATCCAACCAGCTGAGGAAGTTTTATTCTTTTGATTAAATTAATCTATAAATGAGAATAAAACACAAGTCTGAGCATGACTGAGGTGATCATTTCTGCATGGTAATGAATCCCACCATGTTCACGAACATTAATTAGGGGTGGAGATTTGCCATCCTCATCCAGTCTGGTGTATACACACCTCCAGACCCATGATAATGTGGTCAACTCTGATCTATTGCAAGAAATATCCTGGAAAACCACTCAGTTGTGGAGAAAATAGCTTGATCCCCACATTGTTTATGAGCAGTTTGGGATGGGCCATAAATTTTGGCCTGGCCACCAATTCATTCATGGGATTAGAGTAAGAATTTCAAAAAAAAGGTGAGGAATGAGGGATATGGTGTGAAGTTGAGATGGAGGTGTGGGACTGATCTATCAAAAATTCTCCAGTTGACAAGACAGTAGTTGGAAACAACAGCAAGTGTTGTGGGTTAAGGATGGGTTTGAATGCCAATGTGTGATGTTGTGCAGTTGACAAGCCCTGGCATGCCCCAGAAAACATCTCAGGAGGTGCACTTAATCTGTCCCATGATGTGTCGGCTTTACGAACTCTGGTTGAATGAACAGAAACACCTGCCTCACAAAAAAGCATCTTCGAAGAAAAACATTTCCTGTTTTCCATCAACTGCAGGTGGAATCCAACCTGTCTACAAATAACAAGACGACCCAATTTCACTGGAAAAAAATGCTTGTTTTTATTTGTGGTACCTTATTAAATCATCCAAATATCTCAAAGTGATAGGTTAATGTTGAATCACTCTGAAGTATAATTACACTATAAACTAGCGAGTACACAGTAGATGAAAAGGGGTGATACTTTGTACCTTGTTGGAATTAGGGAAGGGGTCTTTCCAGGCTGGTGGCACTACCAGCTGGACCAGTGGGCTGTGCACATGAATGTCCACGGCTGGGACCAGGTGGACGTACTCAGCATATGCCATCATTGGGAGTCAATTGGCACTTTGGCTCAGCAAAATCAGGTGAAGTGACTTCACTGTGTGGCATTCTGTACCTGCTCTGGCACTGGCATCACTCCATCGGTCATCTGACAGGATGGGCCCACATTGCAACAATGACTTACACTTCAAAAAAGGACCTCAAATAGCTACAAAATGCTTCGGGACTTGCGTGGTCATGAAAAATGCTGCAGAAATGCAAGTCTTTCTTTTTGTGGGAGACGCGCGATGCATTGCCTCAACATACGGGATGCAAAAATGTTCTGAGAAATAAATTAGAACAGATTGTAAAAGAAAAGCCCTTCGATCTCCCCATTGAAATTGATCAAGAAACAGATCAAACAACACCTACCCAGCAGTTATGAAACATGAGGCACGTTTGTTGCTGTGTCTGATATCAAATCGTCTCAGATTCCAGCTGAAACGAAGGCCTAAGGGCATTTTAACTCTTGCTATTTCTATGCAGTTGAACTCAGTGGGGAGTACAGGTTTCAGTGTTTGCGACAAATTAAACATGGCTAGGTGTTTGCCTCAAAATGATTGGCTTGCGGTGTTACCATAACCAGAGAAGTGGAACAAAAAGAGTGTGGAAGTGTAAAGCATGTGACATGTGATGCACATGCAACCCACTTGGGCCTATGCACTGTGTTTTGACAAGATTTTCCTTTCTGCAGACACAAAACAAGAAACATTCCCAAAATATATCCTACAGGCAGGGGAAGAACATGATGCAGATGGGGATTCTCCTTTTCAGGTGTCTCTGCACATGCTTTCTTCCAGCAAAGGGCTAAAAGATCCACTTGTTAAATTTTTGTTTCAATGCGTCTAACTGTTATGGTCAACTACATCAGAACGCACTATAAGCATATCAGCCTTTTGGTGTTGTCAAAAGATAAACCTTACATTACGAGCCCCTATTTCAACCAGTCCGTGTGATTGCTCTGCATTAAAATATTGGGCAGATTTTAACCCTCGCTGTTTGGTGGTCAAGTAGTAATAGGCAAGTTACTTATCCATTAGAACATTAACCTATTCCCATCATTCCAACTTTGCAGAATAGGTCAAAGGACCTACAGAAAGTACACAATGTTTACATAAACCAGAGCTTTATTACTTTATTAGGATCTCAAATGAGGCTAAGACAGCTTCCAGAAGCTCAGACATCAAAACCTTATGAAGGACAGAACTCCTCCAGTTTGAGAAAGAGGCCACTTCCTTTGGATGTCCTTTCCCCATTGCAAGGCCTGCACTTATTGCCAGTCCTAGCTGCCCTGACTGAATGGGCCACTAGACAACTTCCGAGGACAGCTAAGAGTCAACCACATTTCTTTGTCTTAGTCTCAGACACGCCAAACCAGCTAAGAACGGCAAATTTCCTTCCCTTAAGGCTGTTACTGAAATCAGGTAGACAAGCAATGATGGGAATGGTGACAATGAAACGGAGACTAGATTTTTACACACGACTTATTCATTGAGTTCACATTCTGCCAGCTGTTGTAATAGGATCTTGCCCTTGGATTATTAATTTGGCCCTCTGTTCAGTGACATTGCCGCCACTACACCAGTGTCTCTCTGTGCCTGTAGGGAGAAGGAGCAACAGCTTTCCTGTAGCCTCTTCCAGTGGAATTCACCTTCTCCCCAGCCTGGTCTCTGTCACCCTACCTCCCAACCATGATGGGCTCCTGTAACCCCTTGCTCACCTCTTAGCTGCAAGCCAGAGGCTACACTGTAGGTGACCAGTCAATACTTTAATCCTGTGGAAAGAGGGGGCGAGCAACCATTAAATTAACCCAGGGATTTAAAATAACACTGGCCTGAAACCTGCGAAACTGAAGTCAAATAACAGCCATTGAGTTATTGAACAGAGAAGCATTCTTAAAGGGCTGAACGGCCAGCTCCAACATCTATTTTGTGACATCAGTGAGCCCCATTCTCTAACGCTTTCAAAATCTGGTTGGCATTGAACTCAACACCATTGTTTAGCAAACCCCATGAAGTGTGTACATTGCACTGGTACCTGATTCTGCACGCTCCCTCCAGGGGCTGGCTGGTTGTCAAGCAGACTCTGAGATGTCTCCAGTGCAGACATTGTCTGGATTAGCTCGCTGAAATGCAAACATAAGTAATGAGATAATGGTTCACAGCAGGCAGTACATACAGTGTGAGACAAATTTCCTTCAACTCTTCAGGTAAGCCAAAAGCAAACAGAAGGGAAAAAAAATTGTCTGCAGTCACACAGCAGTGAAGAACATGAGAGGGATGTGCAGACAAGCCCAGCCCCATGAGTGCAGTGTCCAGGAATGTGAACGTCAAACACTATTTCATTCACAGTCACAGTGCTGCTATCGGTAAAAAGTACTCCACAGAGCTCTATAATACAAGCTTTATGTCGAGTGGAGTTACTGATCTCAGCTAGAAGTGAAGTCGAAGCAATTCAATTGATTCTCCAAAGCCAGTCAGGTTCCTGAATCAGGACAAAGTGCCCATTCACACGTGCCGGGAACACTGGACACTGTACGAGGCCTGATCTACAAGAGGATGGTTTTCATTTGGGGAAGCCTGGCTCCAGTGAGAGTCATCTCCTTCAGTGCAGTAAATAAGAAGGGATTAAAACCCCAAAGTGCAAACAAATATATATAATTAAGGGAAGGGACAACAAACTGACCCCAAATTGCAAACTGGTATTTGTGAAACCCTTTCGGTCCTAAAGAGGATGAAGCAAAAATAATCAAATTTTACAGAAAGCAAAGCAGAAGGACAACTAATCACAAGACTGGAGATGGGGACAAGTTAAGACACACTCAGTTCAGTGCAGCCCTCAATATTTTTTTCACTCTCCCTAACCTTTTCCTTCTGTCACTGAACCTGTATCTTGCTGTGGACAGATATTAGTCTCTGAAGTGGTTCCTTTCATGCGATTTTTGTGAATGGCTTGCTCTGCGCCTGTATCTTACATTTATTATCAACATGCTTCATTCCTTCTTTCATTCTCTATGCTTGCTTTCACCACAGTAACTGGACCAGATTTTGTCCAAGATGCAAATCCTTCTCCAATATCTAGACAACCTCTCCTAACCTTTGCCTTACAGTGTACAAGGGAAAGCGTCTGGCAGCTAACACTTAACCATTTTCACCTTTATCTTTCAATCCATTCCTCCTAGGATAATTTTCCTGGATAATTCCCTCCTTTATCAATTTTACTTTGAACATTGGTCTCCTGAAAACTCCTAATACACTGTCCTAAATCTGACCATCCTACACAGTCTTCCTTCTCATTACACTTTCACTGGTTAAAGAAAACACCGAGGGTGATTACATAGAAACCGAAAGAACTGCGGATGCTGTAAATCAGGAACAAAAACAAAATTGCTGGAAAAGCTCGGCAGGTCTGGCAGCATTTGTGAAGGAAAAAAACAGAGTTAATGTTTCGGGTGCGGTGACCCTTCCTCAGAACAGAAATAGACAACTGAAGAAGGGTCACCGGACCTGAAACGTTAACTCTGTTTTTTACTTCACACGTGCTGCCAGACCTGCTGAGCTTTTCCAGCAACTTTGTTTTTGAGGGTGATGACATACCTGCTCCAACTCAGTCTTTCCCAAGGTCTCAAAATGAGGGAACCCTGGACCTCTGTCTTCCCTGCCTTTGATACAATCAACAGGTTTTTAAAACACACATTTGATCACTGAGCCACTCAATTTCTCTTGGGTTCCCCCTTACTCCGACCTATAAGGACCACTGCCAGTTCTGACCACTACACACAGGAATTGAACTTGGGGCATTGGTGCCCACATGGCTGGCAAAGAAACAGCAGTGCCCCAATCCACAAGCTGTCAAGACGGCTGGCACAGAGTGACTGAACAGGAAGAGCGTTCTAAAGGGCACCGACAAATCGCTCTGATTCAGTGAACTGGCAAGTGCTCCTGATGTCCGTTGCAGGTGACAGCCAAACAGTGTGAACAACTTGGAAATGTGCAGCTGGGGTGAGAAAGAACAAGAAATGACCTTATGATAACTACACAGCAATGAGTATTCAAAGCTCACTGCAGCTAAGTCAAAGGTCAGATGCCAAAAAGTTGAAGAAAATGCTTCATGAACCACAAATGCTGGTGACTTGATTTGCAATAGGAGTGCGTGTAAAAGGGAATCCAGCACAGTGAAGAGTCTCACCACCTGAAATATTTCATCCAGATAGGGCAGAAATTTACCAGCATCATCAAAGCTTGGAATTCAGATTTATTTTTGGAGTGAGCAATTGGAAGCAAGAATTATATGAAACATATGGAAATATGTTATGAATATAATTTTACTCTGTATAACCTCTCCTATAATTGTTTGAAGGGAGAGTGCAGAGAGAGCTTTACTCTGTATCTGCTATGTACTGTGACTGCTCTCGGAGCATTCGATTTACCAGTTTAGATGGAGATTTGCAATATATCTAAATCATGCTACTCATCACCTCAAAGTATTTAGAGACAGTTTTACTTTGTATTTAATCTGTGTCGTTCCCAAGCTGGAAGTGTTCGATGGGAAATGCAACACGAGAATATATTTAGTGCAGTTTGTACTTGTCCTGGGAATGTTTCACAGAACAACAGAAGGAATTTCACTTTGCATCTCAGCCGTCCCTCAATTTGAGGAAGACTTTATTCAGGGTTGACAGTTTCTGCCATGGGTCTGCATGCAACCAAGCAGACCGTTTGCCTGACCGTGGACCTATTAGCTTTTGGGACAGCACATCTCACAAGGTGCTGGGACACAGAGAGCAGAATTTGCCTCATTTTCTGTCCTCTCCGTGACCAATCTACCTCATCATGAAGGCTTTTGAACTTGAAACATGTTGCAGCTTGACGGACAGTTATTGCTATTGTGAACAGTTTGTAAAAAAACCCAGTCAAGGATGGCCTTAGAGGTGCATTTGAAGTATGTCCTTTGTCGTCCCCTAGACTGGCCATCTCCAGATTTAAGAAAGCAGGACCTGGTGGGGAGATGCTTTTCTGGCACTGCGATTAGTTGACGTTACTTGGATTTTGTAGTTGATTAAATCGTTGACTATTTGCATTTAACCAATGTTGTACATGTACTTGACTTGAAAGCATTTGATGGGACTTTTTTTTGGTCATTCACAGGATGAGGGCATCGCCAGCATTTATTGCCCATCCCTAATTGCCCAGAGGGCAGTTCAGAGTCAACCACATTGCTGTGGGTCTGGAGTCACATGTAGGCCAGACCAGGTAAGGATAGCAGTTGCCTTCCCTAAAGGACTTTAGTGAACCAGATGGGTTTTTCCGACAATCAGCAATGTGGCCGAAGTCTGTTGTCCCCATCCTGGGAGTGTTTAATGGGACAATGTTGCAGAAGTTTTACTCTGTGTCTAATTCATCCTGTAAATGACTTGGGACTGATAGTGTGACAGTGTAGAGAGAGCTTTACTTTGTATCAAACTTACTGAGTATCTGATCATATGATATTCTTTTTATTGCTAACTGGAACTATTCTATTCACTCAACAAATAGAAAGGGGATCTCTTGTGGCACCACGGTAATGTCCCTACCACTGGAGCAGGAAGTCCGTGTTCACATCCCACCTGCTCCAGAGGCATCTAATAACATCTCTGAACAGGTTGCTTAGAAAAATAGGTCAATGTGAGTTAGTTTTGATGAGAATGCAGATGGTGAAAATATACAACAAATGTCACAGAGAAATCTGCAGATCTTTGAGAGGGTTGCAGAATTTATAAAAAGGTATGGGCAAGGTTAATAAGGTTCAGATCTTGTTGAGTGGGACTGCCTGTACAGGACGCGGGGCCTACCTGCTGAGGCCTTTGGTGAGTAAACTGAGCAAGAGCCGCAGCTGCAACATGTCCACTGATGAGGAATTTATGTGTTCAGCATCCTTAAGCACATCCTGCTCAACATAGTCACAGAGGGCCTTATAAAAACCTTGTGGAGCCCTGCAATTAAAGAGAAACAATCAGTTGGTCCAGTGCCCATACACTGATACTATTGGGTAAAAAATAGCCTTTCTCCAATGGGTCCCCTTTATCCAGCCATTAACCAGTGACCTCAAGGTAGATGTTAGTGTGACTGAAGCCTGAGCTGCAGTGGTGTACCACAGGGATCAGTGCTAGGTACCTTATTTCTTGAAATATTCATAAACAATTTAGATGAGAATAAGGGGGGCAGGGGAATGAAGAGTAACTTTGTGAATCACACGAAGATTAGCCAGGTGGTTGACAGTGAGGATATAAACAGATTGGTCAGATAACCCTGATAACTGTAAGGTGATGCACTTTGGAAGAAGGAACAAGACAAGAGAATAATCAAATGAATGGCAGGAAACTAGGAAGCTCAAAGGAACATAGGGATTTTGGGATTCTTGTCCACAGATCCCTGAAGAAGGCAGGACCAGTTACTGGGGTAGTTAAGAAGGCATTCAGGACACTTGCCTTTATCACTCGTGGCATAGTTTATAAGAGCAGGGAGGTTATGTTGGAACTGTACAGGACTTTGGTTAGGCCACAGCTGGAGTACTGTGTGCAGTTCTGGTCACCACATTATAGGAAGGATGTGATAGCTCTGGAGGGGTTGCAGAGGTCACTCACCAAGCTGTTGCCTGGGATGGTGCGGTTTAGCTACGAAGAGGCTGAATAAGTTCAGATTGTTTTCTTTGGAGTGAACAAGGATGAAGGGGGTGGTGAATCCTGATAGAGATACAATGATGGGGGGGCATAGACAGGGTGGATAGGAAGCAGCTGGTCCCCTTGGTTGAAGGGTCAATAACAAGGGGGCATCATTTGAAAGTGGAAGACAAGAGTTTGAGGGGTTTTGAGGGAATGCGTTCCTCACCCAAAGGGGTCTGGGAGGGCAGTTGAGACAGGAAACCTCACAACCTTTAAAAAAGTACTTGGATGAGTTCTTGGAGCGCAGGAAATGGGCCTGGTGTAGGTGGTAGTGTATCTTCGGCAGTGCAGGCTTGATGGACTGAAGGGCATATTCCATACAGTATGATTCGATGTGGCCAGGTCTGGTGGCACCAAACCTGGTGAGGTCCTTTTTGCGCGCATTCCCAGTCGGAGGGGATGATTGGAATGTCAGGGCGGCCGTGAAAAGTACGCATCTCTTTGGAAACAGATTGAGGGAACCACCTTGTGAAGCTTGTGGTGCAGTTTGCCCATTTCTCCTCTTATCCACTGACTGAGCCAATGGAGGGTGAGTGCCTTGAAAGAAGATGTCAAATTGAATGGTGTTGGTAGCTGAGACAGATAGACCTAGGGCCTCAGTCACAGTTCAAAATGTTTTGCTATCTCTCCCAGTGAGAGGCTCTCCTGTGAATGATGATTGATAATCTAACCCATGAAGAACCTCACAAACAAAGCCAAATGTGTTTCATTTTTTCCTGTAAAGGGTGTCATACAATGGTCTGTGGGTCAAAACACAAGATGTTAAGAGAGGGAGTGAGAGACACAGTTAAGCAGAAAGAGAGAGAAATGCGGGGAGCAGACAGAGAGAGAGAGAGAGAGAGACAGGGGCAGACAGAAAGAGAGACAGACGGGGGAGCAACGAGAGAGACACAGAGGGGCAGAGAGAGAGGGGAGGTGCAGAGAGAGAGACAGGGGCAGACAGAGAGAGAGAGAGAGGGGGGGGCAGAAAGAGAGACAGAGAGAGAGAGAGAGAGGTGGGTGCAGAGAGACAGAGAGCTAGGATTGGTAGTAAAGCATTGTGGGAGGTGGAGGGTGGCTGGAGGGGTAAGTGGAGAACTGGATGTGGTGGGAGTGACTCACAGGGGTGGCCATAAATTGAGAAGGGTTGAAATGTACAGGAGTCTGGCCCCTTCCAAGCCCCACGCCATACCCCAGGATTGTTAGAACTACACCCACCCCCACCCCACCCCAACCCGTGTCTGATGTGTGCTCAGTTACTGTGCCAAGATGGCAGCGTCCACTTGTTCAAGGCGCCGGGCGAGTATCTCAGTGACCAGGGACCTGCTGGCATCATTGCGAATCCTTGCAGTGGAGTCAACAACATTGGCAGCACCTGTAAAATATCAAGGGAGCAGGCATCAGGATCAATTTCTTGTAATTAATGCCCAACAGTAAAATAAAAAGGTGACTAACACAGTCACAGGAGTTCCAATCTAGGCAACAAATTGAAGTTGCTTCTGGTGCATCAGTGGTAGCTGGATGTGAGCTTCATGTGCATAGTGGAGGTGGGTGTGGTGGGGGGCTGCATGGGGGACCAGGGTTGACACTGAGTTCAGAACCCCTCCCATGACAGAGACAGAGATACGGTCCCTGACTCTGGGCACTCTGAATCTCACACAGAGTCCAAAATGCTACACCCCTCCCATCACAGCCCAGTGACCCTCAGCCAGCTGACTTCAAACTAATCAGGTAAAGCTCCTACAGACCTGGCCCCATGCATGTCAACATTGGTCAGTTAATGTCAGCGGGCTCTTAGCGCTGGAGTCTTCCACAGATAAACCAATTCTGTCTGACGTATACTGCAGGCCTGGGCAATATTCTAAAGTAAGAGACCCAAATAAAGCCTCATTTTCCTTTGTCAGAGAGTAATGAGGATAACTACAGAGATAACACAGTGTAGAGCTGGATGAACACAGCATGCCAAGCAGCATCATAGGAGCAGGAAGGC